CATTTCACTCCAACAGTTGCAATGAATTTGACGCGCTCTTCTTAAACAAACCATCCCGTGGAAAGCTTAACATGTATTGCGAATTTCGTTATTCATTTTGTTGGATCATATTGTTGGAAGGAGATTCTCTTATTCCCGCGGGTTTCGCGTAAGTGCCTCTGCTTACGGGCCCGTCCAACCCTTTTTGGCCCTTCATACAGCAGTATGTTGAATTCAGAATGATGATGGAATTTGATCTTGCTGTTGAGTGGAGCCGCATGCAGGGCAAGACCCAAGCTAGGATGGTGGCTACTTACATACATACATACATACGGGACTCCCGTCCACACGGAGTGCCTCAACGAACAAATCCTTGTCGAAAGCTTTCGTCTTCCACTTTCGGTCACAAGTTCTCGTCCTCCGTACTGCCACAGTATTCCGTTGGCCGATGCCATATCGTATCGCCTGATGGTTGCTATGGGTATATCCTTCGCACACTCTCCAATCCATGTTTGCCATCAGCGACGGACTGCAGAAAGTAACGTCGATAATGGATTCTCGGCCATCTCTGCGAAAAGTGCTACTGGTGCCTTTATTGGCCAGCATAACTTCCAGTTTTGCCAGAGCTTCCAGCAGACTGTGCCCTCTTGCATTGGAACACCTGCTTCCCCACTCCACTGCCCAAGCATTGAAGTCTTCGGTAAGTCCATCCAGCATCTCGTGGACTTCTCCATCGTCCATCTGGGGGGTGCGTAACAACTACACATGAAGATTCCGTTGATTTTGGCGATCACGAAGCCTTCGTATTAGCTCGCAACCACTTCTTGAATGGGGTATCTGCCCATAACTTGTATAGCAGCCATCCCAGCTCTATCCGCCACCCAGTTACCGTTATCGGGAGGGACTCGATACGGTTCCGCAATTATTGCAACGTCGCACTTTGTTTCTGTTGTCGACTGACTGTTGCTGAGCAATGTCGCAATGATTGAGGTTTATTTGGGTTACCTCCATTACTGTTGGTCTGCCATCGCCTTTTTGTATTCTAGGCATTTGAAGCCTCCCGTCGTATGATCGTTACCGTCCTCTTTTTTGCAGAGCATACACCTCGGATGCTGCGTGCAGCCTCTTGCAATATGGCCTTTCTCTCCGCATTTCCTGCACAGATCAGATCTGTCAGGGTCATTGCAGTTCGCTTACAACAATCCTTGATGTAATAATTTAAAGCAAGTTTAGTCCGGGAGTTAGAAAGCGATAGCTCTACTGCAGATTCAGCAACCCATTTCAGAATGCCTGGTAATTCTCGTCCATTCCGAGGTTACTTTCACATACAATAAGCCCCGTATGTAAACACTACCGTTATCATATGAATAATGGTACTGCAAACACACTTCCAGATTTCGAAATGTGATGTTTCGAAATCTGGCGCGTATTTAGTAATATATGGACATATGCATTTATGATTGATTATATAAATCAGATGGATCTCACCAAATTCTGCCTCCGAAAAAGGACCGGTTTGTTCACTCGCGATAATCGAAAAAATCTTCCGCGTTGTTTTTACAACCCAACACGACATTTTGAATTACGTTCGAAATTTTTCATTTGCACCGATTTTTTGTTTGACACCTCATTCGCGTGCATCCTCCGGAAGGCAGAACGCCAGCACCAAGAAAAGAAAAAAAAAATACCCGGTAAAACTCTTCTTGGGAGGGAGGCAAAGCACCAAAAACAAGCGAAATGAAAAACCGATCGACGCGACACCACAGCAACACAGCTACTCGAAACAAATTATTGTCCCAGATGTTTCACGTTAATTACAATATCACTAAAAAAAACTTCTTCAGACGTGATAGATCTTAATTTACACTTATCCACACGTGAAAACTAATATTTGTTTGATTTGGTACAATTAAAAAATATGCGAAAAACAGATGAAATCAGCGCCAGTGTAAACAAAACCAACCGTTCGCGGGCCATAAAAAAGGTTTGTCAAAACTTGGATAGAAAATACCATGTTTAGAACTTCCATTTTGTTTGAGTGTAGGTCATTTACTTGATTTTTTTTTTGTTAGTCAATATCAATGCTGGTTTGGAAGAGACATCGATCATTTTGGAGTTACATTGAATCTATTGATACAGTACTTGTTCGCTTACTGCTAACTGGTATAGTCGCTATATTCCAAGTCCCCGGCAGGATGACAGACAACCTTAGTTTCACGTACCCACTTGCAAATAGTAGATGTCGCCACACAACGTAAACAAAGGGTTTGTCCTTCACCACCGCAACGGTGTTTCTGTATGAGAAACAAAATTTTTGTTTCACCATGTGTGGATGTCAAACAACAGGCAAGAATGCCATATGAAAAGAGCGAATTCATGAATTTCGTGGTGAAATTCAATAAATCCATACAAATTGAACCGATTGAATGAGTTTCATCTTATATCATCGAATGGCAATCAAAATACTTTGATTTCTTCAGTTCTATTTTGCTCTTGAATTTGATCAGCCTTCAGAATATTGATTTGAACATAGTTGTGCAATGAAGGTTTACTTTCCCGTGTTTCTCCTACGGCATAAGTAAAGTAAACGGCTGAAATTGACCTTCGACAGACGTACAACCGTTGTACTATCGTTGTACTCTTTTAAGCTAGTAACTCAAATTGTACATTATGCAGTACTAGCTGCATAAGTTTGTTGGATTAGCCAAAGGATACTGTAATTAGTATGCTCTTACTTGCTGAAAAACCATTATTTCTTTGTTCATCAACTTTTTTTCAGTTTTTTGGTGACAGTCGTCCATACTTTTACTAGAGTACTGTAGTCGAAATCACCGAAAGTATTATCGCTCAATTCTCATTTGTTTCGATTAATTCGATGACAACCACATATTTTCGATTTACAAATCATATGTTTAAGCTTTTGGTTCTGTTCTGCTCAAAGACATACGAGATTACATAAAAAAAAATCATTAACTGATTATGAATTGTGCATACGACTGAATATCAAAATGACTGGACTTCCTATGTCGCTGATGTTAATTTTGACGTCGGACTTCACGTGTACCACACGCGCGTTCTGGTTTGGTGGGCGCGCGACAATAAGGTGAATTTTAAACTTGCATTTCATTTACGATACATAATTTCCGCACTCGTCCTATTCAGATAACACTTCTGAAAACTTGTGAGTTTGACAGAACCACCAGAACAAAATTATCTCGGTACACTGAATGTTTTGAGCCAAATGAACTGTCAAAATCTGAGCCAATCGATCATTCCAATTAGATTTTTTCCGAGGATTTCTTATTCTTACTAGAATAAATTTGAGAGTATTGCAATCGAACAGAAATTCAATCACCTCCATGTTTTGTGTGCTTCTCAAATTCAACTAGTTTTTGGAACCAAAAACAATATTCTTACTCTATTGATTAATTGATCTTCGTTGGTTAATAAATGGCATCAAGAAATGTGCAAAAAATTGCAATGCAATCAATTAATACGTAAATCGAATCAAAAATAAAAGTCATTTGAAATGCTAGCTTCTAGCAAGGGTTGCATGATAATTTAGGAACAAATCCCTGCTGCCGAATCGTATTTTGTTTTCTCCGCCTATCTCTCCCTCTGAGTATTTCTACTTTTAACTGGGCATTCGCAGTTATACGTCAAAAATAGACACCGCATTTAGTTTGACATTTCAGTGCTAACATTTGAAAACGGCGCAAAAGCCATTTGTAAACAAATGGTTTGTGGGCCCTCTACTCGCTACCCGAAGAACACCCACGCAAACCAACAGCATCGTCAGGAAGGGGAAAATTTCCCCTACCCGATGTTGCTGTTGTGTCGCGTGGGTGTACTTCAAGTAGTGAGTAAAGGGCCCACAAACCATTTGTTTACAAATGGCTTTTATGCCGTTTTCAAATGTTAGCACTGATTTCGTTGTCGTAATTGGTGAGGGGCATTCGCATGGAATATTCAGTGTTAAAAGAAATTAATGTTAATTTATTTTAATTTCGCATCGAAATCAAAATTTTAAATCGTTTTTAGCGGAAGCGTTAATTCTTTCTAAACTAGCGAGTTTTAATGCTGTGACAATAACAAAAGCAAACTTTACACAGTTTCGATTTAATGCACGTGAAATTCTTTTCTCGTCGATCAAACAATCCATTTAGTGTTTTTGATGGAATTGGTGGAATTCGCTAATTGGGTTCTTTAAGGGTATTGAGGTAAATGCATATTCGTAATCTGCATTAAAAATGGAACCCAAACCCAAAATTTCATCAATTTTGGCACACTGGAACTATTTTAAACAAGTACGATTACATTTGCAAAAATCACCTAATTAGCGCCCCTCGGTGTCACTTTGTATGGGAGAGAGCTGTCAGTTTGTCAGTTTAGTGTCAAACAGTGAAGTTATTATTTTGCTTTAAATCATGATTTAAAAATCGAGATGAAAGTGCGTGGGGTTGAAAAAAATATCGCTGTGCTCAGAAAACGAAGATATATAAAAACCGATATATTTTTCAAAATTGAAGAACCCAATTGGGCTGCGCTCTTAAATTAATTATTAATTGTACTAACTGACCCATCTTACCTCACTTTACCCTATTCCCCATTTACATTCGAAGTTACGAAGTGTAATTCCCACGTAAAAATCATAGTAAATTAATTGACAATTCTGTCAAGTTGAAATCAGTTACAATTAAGCTTGCATGTTTTGTTATATCACCGAAAAATTGGTGATTCAAAAAGCAGATCTGTAACTTGACCTCTGGACGTTCGAATTTCAGGATGGGACTGATATATGCGATTACTTTGCTTGATGGGGACAAACTGACTTGATGTTGTTTTCACATTTTTCATGATCAAAGTCCGTAGTTTTATCACGTAATATGTATGTAATACAAACAAATGTATTTATTAACTGTTCAACATAACAATCTATTTTCATATGAATTTAAAAAAATCTGCGTTCTGCGACGTAATGGGTATTACTAAAAGTTCGATTCATTTATATTCTCTAACAGGACGTCTCTACTGAAGGTTCTCCGAAAAAGGATAAAAAGAAAAAGAAGGGATTGCGGACACCTTCGTTTTTGAAAAAGAAGAAGGACAAAAAACGAATCGAGGCCTAAACCACAACATTTGCAACACTCAGCGTCGTTTTTTTTACTAAAATTTGATTAAAGTATATTATATCTTCTTCCCTTGAAACATACAAAAAGAACGAAACAAAATATGTTAGAACAAATAAAAATATACGCATGTAAAAGAAACCTTTAATATAAATATGTCACATTTAGATAAGGCAATATTCCTATAGTAGCGGTAAACACTCAAGTGGGCACAAAAACGCATTTGCACAGCAAAAGTTTTAAATCATTACGTCGTGAATAAAAGGATTTAATCAGTTGAATGTGTATTTCATTAAAAAGAAGATGATTTTTTCAAATGAATTAACGAGACATAAGATGTGCATTTTGTAAGGAAGTGCGTGATTAAATGCAAGATTAGATCGAAAACATACAACGCCAGGATTTAAAACATTAACGCATAACGATGTTAAACAAATGAAGAACAATGTGAAAGTTAATCTGAGCTAAAAAATCCTTAAAATAAAACGTACATGCTTTATTGTGAGAATATTTTGGATATATATTACGGAATTTGTTCATGCACTTTCTGTACTTTCTAATTGGTGCAGTTGCAGCTGATGTACCTATGTCGACGTAGAATATATTTAAGTATGTGTCGCTTTTTATCTCGGTCTTGATTCAATACCTAAACATCGTCGCATGCAATAACAAGGCTTTTTACCATCGCTATTTTGTTCCGACATATATCATAATCGTGTCTTTTTGAGCGCATGAGATTTTCCCAGTCTAACAGTGTTCATAAATTAAACAATTACATTACATAAAAAATACGCATTGTGTGGCAGCATACGTGAGGAATTAAAAAAAGAAAAAAGAAACAATAAAACTAATTTGAGCTGAAATTAAATGATTTTAAGTGGTTGCTTTAAGCCGGATTACATTTTATTATTAGATCTTTCAACATTGAACCAAACAAATTAGGGTAAATGTCAATCAAATAAAATTAAATGGCATGGATCTTGGTAATGAAATATAATACTTCATGAAGCATACCACAAATATTGCAAGCTTCAACCGACCCTGTACAGAAATTCTGTCAATAATGTTTGCCGCGTTCACCATGTCAACACAAATACTACGAAAACGTGATCTGAAAAAATCGGAGATTTCAATAATGAATAACACATTTTGAATTCGTAAAAAGTTTGGCTCAGCTCTGGTACTCTCTTCGGTCCCAAGCTAATCGATGCACCCTCGAAACATAGGAAAATCCACGAACGATTACATAACATTCCCCAGAAAACCATTCCCCAGAATGCACTATTCCCCTGAAAAGCATTCCCCAGAATGTACCATTCCCCAGAAAAGATGATGAAATTAGTATTTTTCATTCTTCTTATTTTTTTTTTACTATTGATAATACACTATGTTTACTTTTATGGAACTTACCCGGAAAAAAATAACCATACAATAACCATAAAATAATATAAAATCACAACACAATCTATTGCCAACAATCGATCCTATTGTATGTATATCATACAAGTAAATTTAAAATATTGTTATCACAATAGATCTACAATACGTTTCATAGAGCATGAATTTTCAACAATAGAAAAACAATAAAATTAATGGTAAATGACTCAAGTTTATTCGGGAAAAAGTGATTTTCTGTACGGTTAAGATACATAACAACCCCCTTGTTCTATTGTAGATATCCACATTTACCATAGATTTTATTGTGGAAACTATAAATTCTATGGTTTCTTTATCGTTACTGACAATACAATGTATTTTAAGTACAATAAATTCTATTGTATGGTTACAATACATTTCATTGTACCTGTATCGTTCTTTTTTTTACGGGTATGTATTTATCAATTCCAAACCATATTTTAGCTCTTTATAAAATGACAACCTTCAAGTTTTCGAGCACTTCGTTCATCATTTAAAAAGTCGAAGGGTCTTTTTTTCTCTGTTCGGGACCTAACACTACGGCGACCAGTAAATTGATCTATTGTAGTATATATCCCGTGTCCTTAGTTTAGTGCATGTCGTATTACTCCATCACTATTGAGAAATGATGAAGTATTATTCGATTTTTTTTACAGTTGCCACTCTTGCATTTATCGCATTTATCCTTTGTCAGTCAAAATTGGATTCCTTAGCAACAAAATTAAGGTATGACACCGATAATGACCATGCATCAGAACCAGTGCTTTAAATTCTCAAAATCATTTGAACATTTTTGATGAAAATGAGAACACGAGCTATTCTCTATCAAAGGGGACCTCCTCAGAATGGGTGATATCAGTTGCTTAGTCATTTGATATCATTCAATTGAGTGTAACCTACACATAAACGGAGCTCTGGTCGACATTCTGGCGAAAAAGCTAAGCCAATCCGACACCAACCTGACTTCTACCAAATCCCAACCCGATGTTGACCCGACATAAACCCAAAATTGACCCGACAACAACACGACATTGCGTCGAAATCGACTTTAAATTAGCCTTACATTGATCCGACATCGGGTCAACTTGTCTGTTCGGGACCATTTTGCTGGATTTCTTCCATACTCCACTGTCGTATATCAAATGATAGTGAGTGACTCAATTGACAGTGACAATGAGCTTCGGATGAGAAAGGGGCTCTTCAAATTATGGTCATATGAGAATTCGTTTACACAGAATTGATTGAATGGTTGCATTGGTTCATCTTCAATCGAATGATATGAAAATTTATAGCACTGATCAGAACCCTAGTCTTAACCACTTCAAACTAGGGAACAACGAATAGAAGATTAGGAATCACATAGATGAAGACAACTAACTCATTTTTTTTTTTCCATGTTTCAAGATCATCCTCGGTAGACAAAGCCGAGTCTTGTCACTATCAACAAGGCATAAAAAGTAACAAGGACTAAGATGTATTCCTTGTATTACTAAAAAAGTCTATTCCCCTAGTTTGAAGTAGTCAGGAACTAGGGACCAATTATGCAATCTATTATGCAAACCAATTCATCAAGTCGGAAACTGTTAAACCTTATCAAAGAATTGTTCGACCTGAGTTGAAGAATTTCTCGTGATGGATTAAAAAATCGGTGCATGGAACGTTGAACTACCGATTACAAATCTATAACATTATTCCACACGTTATTATCCCGAATGGGCATTACCCCGAATCCCTTGCCAAAAACTATTGATTATATAATTTCCTTTTATATTAAAAGAAGGGAATATTCCCTTCTTTATCGTATATCCAAAGAATTAATTATTTCCTTTTGTAATATTTTCAAAGAAGAGAATATTCCCTTCTTTATCTTGTCATATATTTAACGAATTAATTGTTTTCTCTTATATATATTAAAAGAAGGGAATATTCACTTCATTATCGTGTTTCCAAAGAATTAATTATTTCCATTTATTATACTTTCAAAGAAGGGGGGAATATTCCCTTCTTTATCATATATTTAACGAATTGATGATGTTCTCTTTTATATATTCAAAGAAGAAAATATTCCCTTCTTTATCGTATATCCAAAGAATTCATTATTTCATTTTCTTATTAAGAAGGGAAAACCCCTTGATCCATTAAGAAGTTTTTCTCTTCTTTCGATATACGCGAAAGAAGATTCCAGGAGTGACTATATAATAAACAAAAATAGTCTAAATCTAATACATGGCATGCTTTCCTGGGGAATGGTCCATACTGGGGAATGTTACATTCTGAAGAATGGTTCATTCTGGGGAATGGTGCATTCTGGGGAATGTTATAGAATCCCACGAACCCCTCATTTTATCAGTCAAACTTTCATACTGAATCAAAACAAACATAGTGTAATACTAGAATTTCGACTAGAATGCGATACGTTAATCGATTTGCTTGGGACCAAGGTGATCCAAGAGACCAGTGGCGTCGCCTTAACCTCAATCTACCTGTGCACCAACTCTCAAAACATAAACAATTATCAAAATATTGCTAGCAATGGATAGATATCGAGTTAACTAGAAGATTAAGGGTATTTTTCAACCGATTCGAGTATGAATATGGCATTAAATCTGTTTTTGAAAGTTGGTGCACAGTTTAAAAGTGAGGTTACGCGACGCCACTGCAAGAGACGTTTTTCAGTGGAACTGACAGCAAGAAATCTAGAGTGTGGGAGTGATATGGTGTTAATGATGCAGAATGTAAACATAAACAAAGCAGAAATTCATATCAGAATAAACTGCCAGTTCTACTGTGATCTGTCAAAAGTTCTTGGTAAACAAAAAAGTCAGCTGATCGCAACTGTCTCGTGGACAGCCTTATTGGGTCCAGGCTCTTAACATTAAAGCTCTCCACCACTGGTTCTCATTTCGGTCGTTAAATGACGCCCTGAATCGGTCTCTATTTATGTTTAGAAACTCATCGAAACTATAGATACTGTAGATCTGCGGAGGCAAAGTATAATGTAGCCAAACGAACTGTCAGTTAGTGTAGCCAAACGAGCATGACGTCATTATTGTGTTGTTTGAGAGTTGTGAGTATTGTAATATTATGAGCACAAAACGCTTTCCACCTGGGGGAACGACACTTCAGGATTATCCCATTTTTACCCAAATCACTCCTTAAATTTTGAACGTGCACAAAATTTCAATCCATCCTGTCTATTATTTCTATTCCCAATTGGCGTTGATGGCGACTCTGTAGCTCTTTACTCCTATGAGAAAATCCATAAGCAAACGTCAGACTGTGCGTGAAACATGGCGGACTTTATACTATCCTTTCACTCCACCGAAAATTCCCATAATGTCTAAATTTGCTGGAAGAGCAAAATTTTTGACGTGCTGTCAACGCCAATTTTTCCCTTCTGCATGCACACAAATTGTCAAGCTAGCCGTGCAGTTTTCAGGTCGACCGCGAAGCACTCTGCCACACTCACTGTCAGTTTTCAACGATCTCCATAATAAACATGTTGTTAAAAAAAAAAATGATTTGCGTTGAGTCGTTCAAGGTGGCGATTTGGACAATCAGGACGGTGGAGCTGATGGAAATAATCAAAATTGAAACGTGAAGGAATGAATAGTACAAAGGTAACCACCACGTACATCAGCTGGTCGTGCGGTTAAAAATCGGCAAAATGCGAGCTATGCTGGAGGCCAAGGATGAAGTGATTTCTCGATTGGATTCCCGGGGGAGGTTACATTAAATAGATGACGGATCAGTCATCTATAATCGGTCGTGGGTGCAAATACATCAAGCGCGTCATAGAGGAGACGGCAACGCACATCCACTTCCCGGACTCAAACCACCAGCCTCACCTGACAATGAAACCCCCATACGTCAAGCAAGTGGAAAAGGAATTCAAGTTCCACTCGCCCCAAGTTGTATTCGTTGCTGGTACCGGTCAAGGGTTCGGAGAAGGAAGAGCTAATGGTGAAGGATGTCACCCACCGGGTGATAGAGTGATTTTTTTTAAAGTATGCCATTCGATTACCTATAGCTTGAAACGGATAAAGTGATTGGAATCAAGTCGATAGGTTGTATGGTTGTCGAGAAATCGTTAAAAACGTACCGCGTAAATTGCTACTCAGCGGCACTAACCGTGTAAAAAAAACCGCGTAAAAAAATACTTCAGTGTACATAACAAAAAACAAAAAGAACTTAAAAATATATGTATCTATATATGTATACATACCACATAAAAAAATAACAACAAAAATACAATAAAAAACAATGTAACAATAAGACGAAAATTATTGTCTTCCCGAAAAAAAATAACAACAAAAATACATTAAAAAACAATGTAACAATAAGACGAAAATTATTGTCTTAACAATGATTTATATTGTTACGTCTACAATAAATTTACCTTGATTTATGTTGTACAAAACAATAAATTTCATGGTAAATGGAAAATTTACAATAAAAAGGGGGGTTGTTAAGTATCTTAACAATGAAATTTTCGTGATTTTCCCATATAATTTTTTTTCAATAACATTATATATTATTGTTATTTTACTGTTGGTTGGCGAATTTATTGATTAAAAAAAACAACAGTGTACTTTAGAGTGTATGTGTTGGCTTGACAGATCTACTTTATCGACTTTAAAAATAAATCGAAAAAATAAAACATTGCCCCGGGAAGGGAAGGGTATGTCTGTTACGGGTGGTCCTTTTTTTTTTCCTGGTTATGGATCGAGATTCGATCCGGAACTTGTGAGAAATGCAGGCCAACTCCCCTGCGCTCGATATCCCTAGGTCACGTCTCCTTGGTGGTTGAGCGTCGTTGATAAGTTAATGCATTCGACTGGAGAGAATCGCCCATGAAATATGCTTCCACCTGAGAGTTACTTCCTGACATCTTCAAGTGGTGGAATTTTTTATTATTATTGTATGATTATTGACTGCACGGAAAAGGTCTCCATTAAGCTTTTGAGAGGGTCTAGGATAAGATATGAGCGGACGCGGACTGCCTGATTTTGAGCC